AGAAAGCCGAGATCTACCATAGGTGTCATGTCTGGTTTGGCGTAATGGCCTTTGCTTCGTTTGGCATTGATGTTTTCCATTGTCGTATTGTTTAGGTTTTTTACTATGTTTCGGAGTACAAATCCTTAATTCTGCAACTAAGATAATAGTTATTTTTTACAATGCAATGATTTTTTGATTTTTTTAATTAAATTTTTAGTTATAAAACTTATTTTGTAGTTTTTAATTGAAATTGGTCGAGTTTTTTCTCGCAAAGTCGCTAAGACGCTAAGTTTTTTGGGCACACGGATTTCACGGATTGGACACGGATTTTTTATCTCGCAAAGTCGCTAAGACGCTAAGTTTTTTTGGAACACGGATTTCACGGATGGGACACGGATATTTTTTTTACCGCTAGGACGTAAAATGATATATTCTTTTTTTTTAGCAGGTTAAAATTCCCCCTTCGGGGATTAGGGGACGTTTTGCTCGCAACGTAGCTAAGTTTTATTTCTTACAGATATGGATTTAGGATGTTATTATATAGGTTTCATGAAAAAAATCCTTAAATATCAGCGTTCGAAGATTCGTTTTATCTGCGTGCCATATTAGGTCTGCAATGGAACACGGATTTCACGGATTGGACACGGATGATTTAGAATCTAAGATTAATTGGCTACCTACTCCAGAAATGTGGCTAAGATTAAGGTTTTAAAATTGAGTTCTATTTGAGTTTGGAGAAGGGTTTGTTTCTGTCTCTTATACACATCTAGATGTGTATAAGAGACAGATACGAATCCTTCGTTTCTTTCTTCTTGTTTATTCCTTATTCTTCTGTTTTATTGATGTTTTGCCAAAGAAGGTCCTTTAGTTCCTCTATNTTTTCGGTAACGATATCGCCTGTGGCGGTCATTCCGTTTTTGAAAGGCAAATCTTTTTTGGAGGTGGTTTTTAGTCCAGCCGGAAAATGTACTTTGACTAAATAAGTAGAATCTTTGGCAACATCAGAGATATGACTTATTTGTCCTTTTACCGAACCAAATTCTTGAAAAGGATAGCTAGGAAATTTGACGATGACTTCTTGTCCTATTTTAATTTTCCCGAAATTATACTGACCCACCATCATTTCGCCATAATATCCTGAGCCTTCGGGCAGAATGTAGAGCAATTCTTGTCCAGCCTTTAGGATTTGGTTTTCTTGTAAATGACTCAGAAAATTGACCTTGCCATCGCTTGTGGCGGTGGCCACGTACCTTTGTTTCCATGCTTCAATGTCGCTTTTGAGGGTATTGATAGACTGGATGAGGGTGAGCTGCTGGTCAAAAACATTTTTTTCTATTTCTACTATTTCTTGTTGTTTTTGAAGTTGGCTTACCATATTGGATTCTAAATTGCCTTTGGCTTGTTCGTATGCTTGTTTTTTGGCCAAATATTTACTCATTGCGTTTTTGGCGTCTAATTTGGACGAAAAACCCTTTTCGCTCAATCTTTGCTGGCTTTGTGCTTCCTCCCATGCCATTTTGAGGTCTTCGGCCTGCCATTCCAATTGGCTTTTGGTATTTTGTTTTATTCTTTTCAATGAGCCTATTTCATTGTGGATAGTGTTTTTTTTCTTGCTAAAAACGCCATCATTCGCAGCAGCTTTGGAGGCCATGGCGGCTTGTTGGAAGGCCTGGAAGGACTTCTGCAATTCACCCAAATTGAAATAAGAGGGAATCTCGGATTTTTGAATGCCTTCTATATCATTGTTGGCGGCCAAAGCTACGAGTTGGTTTACCTTTTCTTCCAACTGCAAGACCTCCTCATGGCTTGCGGTGCTTTCCAAATATGCCAACAGGTCGCCTTTACGCACCATTTGGCCTTCATTTACCATCAATTGCACAAGATTACCGTCAGATTTGGCGATGATGGTTTTTGGGGTATTGTTGGATACCACCTTGAGAGGGGCGGTTACCAAGTCGGGGTATTCCACAAACCAGGTGATGCCAATCAGCAGCACAAAACTCAAAAAGAACACGGTAGTTCCCCACCTGATAAGCCATGAGGGTGGTCTATTGAGTATTTCATCTACATTGGAATTTACCAATTCAGGCAATCTATTTCCACCCGAATTTCCATAATTGAAATAAGGAGAATCAGGAGGTGGGACGCCTTCTGTTGGGTACAAATTCTCCTTCATGCTGCTTTTACCGCCCATCAAAACCATGATGTCGGTATGGAGGAGCTTTTCCGAACTATTTATATATTCTTTTTCGTTCATTTGTTATATTTGTAAGAAAATCAGTACAATAATGACAACCGTAATCAATTTAAAAGACATAGATTTTAGTTTTTTTGAGAAACTAAAAAAGCAATTCGGCGACAAGGAGGTGAGAATTTCTATTGATGAAATGCCTGAGAAGGTAAGTCAAAAGGAGATTTTCAACAAACTCGAGGAATTACAAAAAAAATATCCGCCTTTTATTGTTTCAAAAGATATTGACCTTTCTGAATTGGCAAATGAAGTAAATTTATGATTTATCTTGATACTGATTTTATCATCAATTGTTTAATTGTTCAAAATAAAGATGCCAATAGGATTGCCAAAAAGAAAATGGAGACGCTGATTGATCAAAGGAAAATTTTTATTTCACTTTTGACACTTCAGGAGGTATCATTTGTTCTTGGTAAGCTAAGAATGGACACTTACCGTATAAATGACTGTATTCTAAGCCTAGAAGAATTAGTTTTCGTAAATTATACATTAATCGAATTCAAACGAGCACAAGAATTGGCCTCCAAAATAGGCTTCCAAAGCATCAACGACTGCTTACATACAGCCATAGCCGAATCACATTGCAAAGAACTTTATACCTTCAATAAAAAGGATTTCGAACAAATCAAGAACTATACTGATTTGAAAATCAGCATATTGTAATATATCACATTCCCTATCCATCGGTATGACGCATCACTCCTTTTAGGTAAATTGGCGAAAAACCTCACCCCCAGCCCCGCTCCGAAGGAGAGGGGTGTACCCGACCCATAAAGTATTCCCCCANAATAGTCGAGTTACATCGTAATTAATATTTCCTCTCCTATACCAATAGCTTGATATTTCTGACAATAATATTTTTTTATTTTTGTATTTCAGAATCAGCTCGATATTTTCATTGCTAACTGATATATTTATTTTCTTTAGATTTGAAATATCAGATATTAATAGATAATTGGATTTAAATGAATCCAACCACTTGCAAACTTTATATGCACTAATATCTCCTTCCTCTCCTAAAATTACTAACATAGATTTAAATTTATGAGTGTTATAACCAACCAAGAATTATCAAACGATATTCTTTATGAAATTTCTTGCTGAAAATTTTTTGTGAATTCTCAATGCTTTGAAGTCCTATTTGTTCTCTTTTCGAATTGATGTCGTCTATTAATTCCTTGTTTACGAAATTATCAATTGGAATTGCTGATACTTTTTTACTTCGTGGTTTATTACCTAAATAATTATATCCAAGATAATAAACCCTTTCTTTTAGGTTAGAGTTGAATAGCCTGTTTCTGTCTTCGAGTAGTGCGAAAGTTTCAGGTGATAGATTGCCTTTTATTAGTTCCTGTCTTATTATTGAATAGTTTTCATCCAAATACCAATACCAAAGATTATGAGAAAATAGAATAAATAAAATCGGATTATATCCAATTTTGTCTGCGGTGGGGAAACCATAATCTAATATTAGTTTTCGGAGATATTTTGCATTTTCAATATCAATAGTTTTATTTAGAATGCCATGTCTAGTACGATTTTTTTGGTCAACCTTAATTAAGCTATCAACTTTCATTTTATAGTAAGCATTGAAAGAAGATTTGTCCGAAACTCTATAAGTTTTTATTATTTCTTTTTTACACAAAAAGTTACGAATTTGTTTGTTCCTTAATGCCATTTTAAGGCTCATTCCGCCTGAAAATGCAGAGCCTAACAATTTAATGGTAAGGTTTTTGTCCTTGCAAACTGAGGAAACAATAGTTCCGTTTATTAAATCTATTAAATCAGGCTTTCTTAAGTTGAAAGCATAGATATACTTTTCTAATGCCTCCTTTTTCTTGCCTTCGTACAAGAGTACCTCAGCATTATTCGTAGCATAATTGTACTCCCGAAATACTAAAGAATCATTTTGTAAAGGTATTAATTTTATAGAAAGTAAAAGAATTGTTTTGATCATATTATTTGGAAAATTAAGCCATATAATTTAAAATTATATGGCTTTTGAAACTCTATTTTTCAGTTCTTACAAGGCTTAAACGTATACTTAATCGGTATGCCCATAAAACTTATTATGGTGTCAGTGTAACAAGTACCATCTTTGCCNATCCATCTCTAATTTTGGATAATATTAGCCACCATAAAAGAGAAACTGAGGTTAAAATTATTGATTCAAAGATAAAATTGGATGGGGACGGTGTGATATATAAATATGTCGTTAAAAATTCTAAAACAATAATGAATTGTATACAAGAACTAACAATGCACAATTTTCTGACTATATAAGCCTGGTAGTAAATATAATAGATTGCATAAAGAAGTGCTAGATAATTAAGGTAAATCAAGGAGTATGGAGTGCTTATTTTGGACAAAAGGATAATGATGCCACCAGTAAAATACAATAGTATGATATCATGCCTTGGAGTTATGCTACAAGTAATATTTCCTAGTGATTTAAGTAATGTATTGAAATTTAATTTTACATTAACCTGATTTAAAAAATTCGGATTTGTTTTGAAAACGTCTAGATTTTGCTGTACTCCAAATGCACTTACCCAGACTCCAATTATCTTTAGTAATAAAAGGAAAGTTGTAGTATTACTTAGCATGGGCACTTTGATAGACCAATAAAGTAGTATAATGCAAGATAATGAAGTGCTTATTATTGTCGTTTTTGTCGATTCTAAAACCTCAATTATTCTTTTCTTTAGAAAATTATCTTCGTCAGAATTCTCACTGCTTTGGATAAGAAGTGTTATTCCGTCCCAATGTCTTACGAATTGACTTAAATGTTCGGAATATTTCTTATTATTTACCGAATAATGTACATTTTCATTACTTATCTTAGTTACTGTTCCAAAGTAACCGTTTGGCTCATTGTCAAAATGCACTATTGCGGGCAACGGTATTTCCAGGATTTGGTTAATACTTATTTTGATACCAAGATTTTCAACCTTAAATTCATGTAGAATTTCAGAAATTGCACCTAAACTTTGGCCATCTGGATGATGCCAGATTGCCTCTTTTAAGGTATTATTCGTAATTCTAATTTTAGCATTTTCTAAGAGCACCTTTAATGCATAAAAGGCGTTTCTTTCTCTGTCATTAAAATTCATTTGAGCAATATATTTAAGGTTTCCTTACTTATATTATAATATTTCAAACATTCTGAATGAAATTCACCCAATTTATTTTTATAACTTATATCATTGAGTAATTTTATTAAATTGGCATAAAAGCTTTCTGAATTTTCAATTAAGAAATTACCTTTAATTCCTAAATTTTTTCTTTCCACTTTCAAAGCATTACCATTTTGGTCGTATTGTGGGTCAAGTGGATAGACCAACATTGGGACTTTGAATTCTATTGCTTCTTTTATAGAACCCATCCCGCCATGAGTAATAAACACTTTGGAGTGCTTCAGAACCTCTAACTGAGGAACCCTTTTGAAAAAATAGACATTTTCGGTTTTAGATATTTTATTCCGCAAGGTTTGAATCACATAGGTATTTACTGAAACTATCAATATGCAGTCTTTCAAACTTTCCATAACTAATATTAGGTTTTCTAAAAAGCTCAATAGTTTTTTATCCGAACCCGAAAAGTATGTACCAAAACTGCAATATATCATTCTCTTTCCTTTCGATTTTATTAATATGTTGGCCCATTTTAAATTGAATTCATCATCTTGTTCTGTTTCCTTACGATTCTTAGACGTACATAGTCCAAGGTAATATTGCCATGGTTGCTTGACCTCCTCAGAATATTCGAATTCTAACGGTATCAATACAAATTCAGGTACATTTTTAAAACCGATGGTAAATTCATTATTCTCAGCTA